CAAGGAACTCCCAGGCCACGCTGAGGCCGGCTTACGCGCCTGGAGATGGCTGTATTCTTCCTGAAAAGCCAGTTGAATCGCCTCTTCAAGGGTGTTTGCCTGCACCCAGAACAGCTGAGTGCGCTCGGGGTCCACTCGAAGGCCGTCCATGAACACAGTCATCTTGATGTGTTCGTTGAGTGGGTTTCCCACAAGGGACGCCGTGAGCTCCCGTATCTCTTGCACATACTCGTGCAGCTCACGCCTCCCTCGTTTGCACGAGAGGGAGCGCGAGCACTGGCGGTACTCGTAGCTCGCCGGGAGGAACGCTGCTCGGAGCTCTTCACACAGCTGAGCCCAGGATGTGAAACATCCAGGGGCTGTTGCTTCCTGCGTGTACACCCAACTCTTAGCACGACCGCTAAGGTTGGACAGTGCAAAAGCAACACGAAGTTGCTCGGTCGAGATCAGAGCCGCGTCCATCGCGAGCTCTACTTCTCGGACCCAGAAGTGAAGGCTCTCACCTTCCTTCCCTTCACACGGCTTAACCTTCTGCCGTATTGGCTTTGGGTGTGGCGGTTTTACTTCCGCCGCCGGAGCCTGCAGGTTCTCACGCACATGCGCGATGAGCCCCTGCTCGTACACGTCAAACGCATTGACGCGCTCGAGCTGCTCGGCCGGTGTTGACGCCACCAGGATTGACTACGAGTGCTACCAAGTGTGATGGAGTCACACAGCACCTTGCGCTAGAGGAAGTTGGCTTCCGAGAGTATACAAACGCTCAGAGAACGGCAGTTGACAGGTTCTCTTTTATCGAAATGGAGCGAAGTAACCTATTTAAGGTAGAATGTAAACTGAGTATATTTATAGGTAGATAAAGCCTGAGTTAAATACAAACTATGAGTCACCTAAAGAAAAGCAATGTCATCAGCCAATGGTTGGCTTTGGACGACCTTGGTACCTTGTACCAAATATCCCGAAGTACGACGTGTCACACTTCATGTAACTAGGGGTACACTTAGGGCTACGTACCCCGTTACACAATCTACGATCCGTATCGAATTGCTGAACGACTCTACACAAACGTCGATAGGGCACCATCGCAATACAATCACCTTTCTGTTTAGACCATGGCCTACAAGCGTGACACTAACAGCTGACACTGCACTAAGTATTCTGCATCTTCTGGTAGATTCAGCACGTATCGATAAGCGTGAGCTTAAGCCGGGACCCAAGCCGAAACATAATCGAAAACAAGCGCGAAGCGCTATGACGTCGGAGCTGAAAGAAACTAGTCTGAATGTTGCTGAAATTTGGCTACTTTTCATCTAAAAATGTATCCCCTCATTTTCATTTTACGATTTTCTTTTTTAAATGACATTCTATAGCACAAAATCGGACATGGTTTCTGTCCTTTAGGCAGGCTACATATTAGGAGGTAATAAATACTAATCCAGTAGTTCTCTTGACCGATGCGCTTACAGAAATTGCATACGTGAAGGCGTAAAGCTGAAGAAGGAGATACGTCTCTACAAAACGATCGTTAATACTAAGCCGTCGGTGAATGTGCGATTTCTTATTTAGAAATAAAAACAGAAACGATTAAGTGAAATTTTAATTTAATCAGGGTGAAGTCAATGCCACCCGCTAATAAGAGGAAGAAACATGTCAGAAACATGGAACGCAGGCTATACGGCTCTTTCTACCGGCATGCTATCAGCCCTAATATAACGAATTGTTCACCAAGAACTAAAGAAGCCAGAACGTCGATCGGCAGTGACGGTGGTAGAATGATGGTTTGACGTCGAAAAAGTGTACGGGTAAATGATTTTGAGTTTTTATCTTATCCAATGGCTGAACTCACCTGGGAGCCCGCCCACAACCTCGCCTGGAAGCTAAAGGTGGATTTCGAGAAGGAGACTATCGACTAAATCCACCATTCTACAATGGGACGCGGGCGAAAAAGGGAGACGCAGCAAGATGGAGCGCTAGTTCGCGCATTTTTAGACCTCTCTCAAAACGCCATTCAAGGTGCAGAGCAGAAGGCAGCGTTCAATTCTCAATCGATTTATTAGCGCAACAAAATCGAAGAAGGAGGAAGTTCGTACTGCACAAGCGCTTCGCAATCGATGGTCTAGTATTTCTCACGACGTGGCCAAATTTGTGGGGTGCTATAGCGTTATTAAGGCCCGCAATGAGTCAGGCAAAAAGTGCGGGTGACGTAATGAAAGACACTCGATTACTATTCAGAATGTAACAAGGATCCGAGTTTTCTTTCGAGAGTTGTTCGTTGATTCTGCAGAAATGCCCGAAGTTCATGGATGGGATTAGAACCCGTGGGTCCGGATCTAACGCTGGTGTGGCTGGTGAAGTAGAGAAGGAGAGGCCAGCAGGACGAAAGAAAGCTAAGACTGATCTAGGCGCGGAAATCGAGGATTTTTAAATACTGAAGCAACTCGTGGATGACAATAAAGAGCGAAACTCTGTGCTCTTTGAGCAAATGAAGCGCAAGAACGACTTGATTGAGGAGCAGCTTACAATGGACCTGTTTAAGACAGACCCGAATTTTGAAGAATCCAAAACCTTTTTCAGTTTCATGCACAAGAAGCGTCTAGCTTCTATCATGGATGGAGAGGCAGCTCGAGAACTAGGGACATCGATCAATGGTCGAGATTGAGACGTGCAAGACAAACGTTAAAACTCACCTGATCCAGGTGCCGATGTAGCTATACCTGTCAATGGTACGGTTGGAAATGATGCTGGTTCGTTCAAGGATTTAGTAGCTCGTCCCGCCATTTAAGACAATCTATGAACACGATCATTGAATTGCTTTAACCTTAACAAACAAATTACCACAAAAACAATCTTCGAGTCTTCGTCATTCTCAAAGTTAAAAAAATATAAGTAGCAAAGCATATACATTAATAATCTGAACTGTGTTAATGTGTGCCATTCCAACTCCAGAAATGTCTGCAAAATACCTCTCGCATGGCCAAAGATGCACTGTTGTCGTGAAAAACTTTAAGGCGCTTGTATATATCCATAATTGAACCCGCCAAACATTCATCGGCTGATGCAGACACGTGTACGGGTTCGAGGGGTTGCTGCTCTGCGGTTGTATTCAAAGTTTCTGTACCGTACGGATCAGGAATGTAGTCAGGCACGTTTTCTCCTTGCAACTCGACCACCATGTTATGTAGAATGACGCAGCAGTAAATAACGTACTTCATTTGATCCTCGTACCACAAGCGAGACGGTACGCCAAGATAACCAAAAGGGACTTTAATATTCCAAATGCACATTCAACATCTTTTCTGATAGCCTCGTGGGCTTTTGTAAAAGACTTCTTGCTCCTTTCTTCAGGCTCCGTATACGCCGATATGAATGTACTCCATGCCGGGTAAATACCGTCCACAAAATAGTATGGTGTTTCGTAGTCTACACCATCAATTTCATAGTGGACACGAGGCTGATTATCATTAAGAAAACTATGCAGTAAAGGAGAACGATCCAGAATGTTTAAATCGTTGTTTGATCCCGAAATACCGAAAAAAGCATGCCATATCCATCGATCTGCAGTGGCAATGGCTTCAAGAACGACAGTAGGAGCTCCTTTTTTTCCACGGTAGTGTCCGTGCCAAGCTGTCGGACAATTCTTCCATCGCCAGTGAGTGCAGTCCAGAGATCCCAGCAAACCCGGCATGCCACGACTCTTATTAAAGCGCAGGATCTTCCTAACGTCATCTGCTGTTGGCGCCCGCAGGTACACTTTACCATATATGTCTACCACAGTCTTACAGAAAGCATGACAGCTCTTTATTACAGTAGTCTCTGCTATTCGACAATATTCGTCCTGTCCATCAGCAGAGATGCCGCTTCCTAACATGCGTAGAGCTGTAGTCATTTTCTGCTCTGGAGATGCCCCCATCTTGCCAACAGCATCAAGTTTCCTTGCAAAATACGAATTCGCTTCCGTAATATCGATCAATAGCCGCCGAAAGAGTACTGAAGGGAGCCCGTAGCGTCGCTGGAACAGGGTTTCCTCGTAGACCGGATTAGGACCGAGGTAGTCCCGCATTGTTGATTCGTGACCGAGTAGAATATTCCGTTCACGTAATTTCATCCTTCCGGGGACTGAGCCCCGGCGTGGCCGGCCTCTTCGTCTTTTAGAACGGCGACGTATAAAAAAATCAGACTTAGAGTGATCTCGGCGTCAAAGCCATCAAGAACATCGATGATGTTGTCATCGTCGTCGTGGCGTAGCAAGGCTTGAAGTTTTATCTATGCTGGATAGCGACTAGGCGAGTGGTCATAGGCAGAAGTATTTGTATTTCTATTTTTGAGTAGCCAATCAAAATAGATTTAAACTCGTGATTACAAATAGGTTTGCCAATGCGACTGGAGATGCTCTAACATTTTATCTCGATAACTCTATATTATCATTTCGTTTGACGCAGTCTCAAGCATACGTAATATGAGACTGCGTCAAACAAAATGTTACTTATGAACCAATGAGAGTTATCGAGATAATCGGGCTTAAAGTTGGCCAATTGATTTTCGCACTTAACCGAAACAGTGACATTTATTGTAAACTTCCATCGAAAAAATTGTAAAACCACCCTTATTCAATTGCTTTTAACAAGAGCTTTTAAATAGCACTTAAATCTCTAAAATTGAAAAAATATTGAGCTCACAACACTCCTAAATGTATCGTCATTTCGAGGGCCCATAAATGAAGATAATATTTTTGAGCGACCACAACTTCTTCAGTTTTAAGCATTCTGCAGCTTATAAGGGCTCAAAAGATAGAGGAGACGCCCCGCTTTCGTTTAGAGTGCTTAAATCGCGATTCGTACTTAGGTTCATAAGTAACATTTTGTTTGACGCAGTCTCATATGTATGCACGTAGTTGCGGCTGCTATTAATACATGTAGCTGATGTTTCACACCGTACTGGATGGTAACATGAATACTTTCATCTTTTATTGCTTATGCAAACGTTAATAAAGAGACGCATTACGCTTAGCGGCGACGGTGCCGGTTGAAACGAAGAAATAGCGCTCCGATGACGAGCAGCTGCAGTACGACCGAGTAGCAGGCCAGGATGATCATGTCCTGCCAGACGTTGACCTTTTCCATGCCGTAACCTCGGAGTATCTCCCACGCCTCCTTCGTGTTGACTTTGGAGAAGTGCTCGTACATGAAGGACTCGAACGAGTACGTGTGGAAGGCGATGTAGTAGCCCCATCTCCAATACACGGGCATGTCTTCGAATGGCACCATGAAGCCTTCGCAGAGCATAAACATACCGAAGAGACCGGCGCCCAAGGCAATGCCCATAATGTAGTGAGGCACGGCAGCTCCGAGCAAGTGCATGAGCGACTCGGAGGCGATGAGCGACAGCGTCAGATTGAGTAAGAACGTCGGGAAAGAGCGCACGTGAGCCAGGAAGACCACGATCGTCGACGCCAACACGGAGATGAGCAGGATACCCGGCAACGCAGCCAGCAGGTTAGACATCGTGTAGCCGGTCAAGGACAGCGCGTACGCTCGCATCTCCCGCTCCATGACTGCACGGTGCTCCAGCAAAGCTGGCAGAGCGGCGACGGACATGAAGACGAGGAAAGCTTGCACGTAGAAGAGCAGCGACACCATCGAGATGGCCTTGATGCCGTCATTGGAGCTCAGGTACATTGTACCCACCATGAGCGACAGCAGCACGTACATGAGCACACGCAGCCAGAAGACACCCGGGTGCCGCCAGTTGTTCGTCATATTACGCTTCACCAGCACGAAGAACTGGTCCATCGGCCACGGTCGCATAGCCTTCAAGAGTTCCGGATTGGCCAGATGATCGCGACGGGAACGATCTCTGACAACATCGGCACGAAGACGCTGCGGCTCGGCACCTTCCTTGAGTGCACGGATAAAGGGCTCGAGTTTCAAGCCGTCGTGGAAGTTTGTGTTGACCAGGTGAACGAAGTATTCCGCCGGGTTGGTGTACATGGGGCATACGTAACCCATGGAGAAAAAGTGGGCGATAGCAGCGTTTGTAGGACCGCTGTACACTAACTCACCACCACTAAGGATAATGAGGTTCGTAAGCATGCCGTAGATGGACGAAGAAGGCTGGTGGATCGTACACACGACGTTCTTTCCACCTTCCTGGCACAACCGCTCGATGTACTGCATGACACCGCGAGCGGAGGACGAGTCCAAGCCCGACGTCGGTTCATCCAGGAGCAGAAGAGCAGGATCGGACAGAAGTTCCAGTGCGATGCCGAGACGTTTACGCTGGCCAGAGGAGATGCCTTTGTGGAAAACGTCGCCTACACGAGCGTTCGAACATGACCGCAAGCCCATGGCATCGATAACATCTTGAACACGGGCCTCACGCTGCACGGGGGGCATGTGACCGGGTAGACTCAGACCAGCTCCGATCTGCAACGTTTCGAGCACCGTGAAAGCTCCCAAGAACGCCATGTCTTCAGACACGTAGTTCATAATAGAATGGAAAGTGCGGAGGTCGCGTGGTTGACCGTTAACCTCTACAAGTCCTTCCAGATGCGCACCCGAGCCTCCCGACGGCACTCGGTCCGCGAGCATATCAAGAAGTGTGGTCTTACCGGCACCGGACGGACCCAAAATGGCCGTCAGCTCGCCCGGCCCTGATCGGCCCCATATATTGTTGAGGATATTGCGTGGTTGCTGACGCTCGAACTGCGCCTCTAGCCCGGACGGACCCGAACCGCGCTTGCTGTTGTTACGGAGGCGTCCGAGTGCCTTTTCCTTCGGTTGAATGAAATACGAAATGTGCTGCCAACTGATGGAGCACGTCTGCAGTGCTGCGCGTTGGCGGAATCCCTCGGTTGACAGCTGCGAGTCGCCGTCGAAGAGCGCCACCTTGGGCTTCACCGGGATATTGTTGTTACTGAACGTGTGCGGTGCCGGTCCTTTGATGGTGTCGAGGTTTTCAAATGCCGTACCTGGCGACATCATTCCACTCTGGTTTAGCTGTGTACGACTGCGTTCAAGCTCGTTGCGCGACATCGGGGCGCCGAGCACCGCCGTAGGCTCCGATCCGTCGGAGCTCATGGGCGTATGGCTCGAAGTCGAGACCTGACGGGGTCTGCCGTCCATGTTGTCAAGTTCTGTCGAGTCGACAACTGAAAGTTTGTCGGACACTCTCTCCGAGATGGTCTTTACCGTTGTGAGCGCCTCACATCATCTCTTTTGAGCAAGGCGGGTGTGTGCCCATGGTAAAGACAGGTTGAGTCCGAGGTCGGCGACAGATGCGCCGGTCCCGAACACGTGGGAGCCGATGTGACGTTCGCCGGGTGCCTAGCCTCGACGGGTTGTCAAAGTCTCAGCTTAGCAAAGTCTCGACTTCCACTCACCGTTGCTACAGAAGCCCGAGCAGATCAAACGACGGTGGCGCCGCAGGAGGGGTAGAGGCACAAGTTGAATGGTGGACCGGATGGGATCGCTTCGTGATGGAGTCTGCTTGCCGAAAGAAATACCGTTCCACTTATTAATAGTGCCGTCAACGATGCGTACTGTACTCTCCCGATGTCGTTGCCCTTGCCGTAAATCACGTGAGGGGTCTCTCATTGAGTCCTTCACTGACACCGGTATATTTCATCCGGTGCCGGAAATCAGCGACTATAATTTAGGATAAGCGAGAAAGCTTTTTTAATACACCAATGTGGTTATTTATAGTGCAAGCGTACTGGGCTCTAGGAAACGATGTGTACAGCAATATGTCGAAGCACCTTGAAGCAAAAGTATGGGGGCACAGTAAGTTAGACCCGTCACAAAGCTGAGAAGCGGGTGTTGCTGTGCTTCCAGCTGGTTAAGTGTCGTCGATCTGTGCTCCATGTCCAGCACACACCGTTTTTCTCAATTGGGGTGATAACTTTGGCTAGACTACTACGGTCACCGCCGCTAAGTTTTGCTGGAAGAGTTCTTTCAGTATTCCATGCCCTCTTTGTGTCCCGTTTCACAATGTGTAATGTAATACATATTGTGGATTTCATGTTTTTGCTGCCCCTGTTAGCTGCTTATTTCGGACGAGCCCATATGACTAATTTGGATCTCATCTCAGGATAGGCTTCCTCATTTTGGACCTTACACCCCGTTTTAGTCTCACCATTAACTATAAAACCGCAAAACTGGAGCCAGTGAGAGAACCCCAGAGAGGCGAGGGGGCTTTGCCGGCAGCGTGAGGCGAACCCAGTATCGGTACGAAAGTGGACATGTCTTGCTGCATGCAGATAGGTGCAATGCCATAGTAGTGACTGACCACGCTGTGATGTGCATTCCTGCAGCAAGGTACTCGTAGCAAACAAGATGTAGGAAATGTAGAATCGAGTAGATGTGAATGACTTGGATTGAACGCGCGCCAGACGCGTTTCGGCCCCCGCCGGGACCTCGTCAGTGGCTTTACCAATCTCGAAGTGAGAACTAACCAACCATCCGCTAACTAAGACCTATCACTATGCCTAGATCCTTCTAGAACCTTCCATATGCCGTAACATAGGATACTACTCTGGAGTCGATGTACGTGCACATCTTGCACTTTCAACACTCCCCCTCGACGACATGAGTCGTAGCCGTCTTGGTCACGAGTGTACAGCCATCGGCTGCTCTCCGCATGATGCTTGTCAGCTGCAGCCTCTTCACTGCATACATTCTTGTAGGGTTTACCACCTGCGCGCTGGCCAGCGTAACCGTTGCTGCCGCGATCGCTAGGTTTCCCGGCTCCCTCATGTTCACCACCACGTCGTCTCTTGACACCTTGTAGCCGTCCTTGAGCCTTGCTTGAGCTTGTTGTTGTTTTCCTTCTCGATCGACCTCTTTCGATCCACCACTCACACCACTCGAAACCACCTCCTTGTGCAGAACTCGGCCGTCCTTTTCCCGAACGCAAAGAGCGACTGCGTGTCCACCGCGCACTTGTATGTTCCGCTCCCCCTGTCGTCGGAGCCCGTTGCTTCCGCGACGACTTGAGCGTGATCTCACCCAGCGCGTATTCCGCGTACACCGCAGCGCCCATACCAAGCCGTTTGGGCTCATAACCTGTAGGAAATGTAGAATCGAGTAGATGTGAATGACTTGGATTGAACGCGCGCCAGACGCGTTTCGGCCCCCGCCGGGGCCTCGTCAGTGGCTTTACCAATCTCGAAGTGAGAACTAACCAACCATCCGCTAACTAAGACCTATCACTATGCCTAGATCCTTCTAGAACCTTCCATATGCCGTAACATAGGATACTACTCTGGAGTCGATGTACGTGCACGTCTTGCACTTCCAACACAAGAATGGAGGAAGAAACTGCTTATAAGAAGACCACTCATGCCGATAGAGTGATGAAGAGGGTGCAGATGAAAGAACGTCACGTGTAGCGCGGGCAAATAGACGTACGAGCTCTCATAAAATTGGTGATCGAGAACATCAGGTGGGTGGCCGGCTGATAGAGTACTATACTTATGGCGTGTATGTCTACGGTCGTGTATGCAGGCGGAACCTTAGCTAGATTTTGCAGCTGAGGTGTACACAGTTGCTGGGAGAGTCCACACAAACACATGCGAATGGTACGGAAGAGATGCGTGTGATAATGCTAATTTGGCAATTGTAACGTCTCTCCCGTTTACATTTGTGTATAGATCCCATTATCTGATCTGCGTCGGCGAGCACCAACTATCATCACTCGAATTTCATTGTTGTTTGGTGATGCAAACTGAACCGTCAAGTCAAGTCGCGTCAGAACTGTCGGTCCAAGGCGGCTCAGAGGCGAGCACGATACAGCCTTGGCCTGTGGAGTCTATACGTTTAGCGGTAGATGGTTCACGTCTACTACCACATCGTGCGGAGGCAGTGCTTGTAGTTCGTGTCGGAGAACCTCACGGGCGAGCTCGAGGCGGATGACGCAAGGACATTCATTTCGACATTCAGGAGGGTTATGCAGTCTTTAAGGAGAAATGATTATCGAAGTTCAACGAGGTTCTGAGTACCCCAGAAGCTGTTAAGCGGCCGATTCAGCTTCCAGAAAACGTGGGGATTTATTTGAAACGAGCTCGCAATGACTCACAAGAAAAATATGTCTTGCTCACCCCTGATAATTTTACGGCAACATTACACCATCCATGGAAACTGCTGACACCTGGAGACTTGGCACGCATTGGTGACTTTCGGTTTGAGGCATTTTTATACGTGCAGCGAGCGACCCCACCCGAGCAGTTCCACCGCGCAACTGCACAGAGAATACAAAATGCAAGGGTCCAAAGAATGGCATACGAAGCTACCAACTCTATTGCGTTTGGCGCAATCACAGCTCATCATCTTGACGTTATACATGCTTGCCGGCCTGATGGCACAGCATTTGAAGTTCCTTCGGATAATACGACATTTCAAGCCATTGCATTAGACCAGACGCGTGAAGCAATGCGCCGTGAAGACGATGCCGCTGAATCCACAAGGCAAACTGGTGTCGTGACACTGAAATTCAATGGACTGTGGATGCCTGTGGAGGTGGACGTCATTTCATTAAGACGTGCAATTGGTCTATCAGATCATGACATATTCACACAGGGTATATTTTACCAGTTTAACCCAACACCTGCAACCAACCCAACCATGGAAGATGTCGACCATTTAGAAGATGAAGAAATGCAAGAGGCATAGGCGCAATTTTGTTAAAAGACATTAAATTCCAGAATAATTTCGTACTCAACACACTACGGCATTCTCACTTGTCTGCATCAGATCATGAAATACTTGTTCCCTGAGGCCATTGCAAAGATATCCACAGTGCTGAAAGGCTCCAAAGCAGCCACTCTCACTACGTCGAGTACATGCACGCATAGCTACATCTAAAACCTGCTCTGGATACAGCGGAAACACCAAATTGGCGTACTGTTGTAGCCAACGCTTTAGCTGGCCAAAGCATTGCTCAATGGGGTTCAATTGTGGACAATATGGAGGAAAGAATAATAATTGTGCTCCACATTGATGATTCGCCGCTTGTAACTCCGGGTAGCAATAAATTTTTGCGTTATCCATTATTACGATAGAACGAGGAAGTGGCCATGGGTTAAGCTTCGGAACCACTCGAACGGGAAAAGCTTCGTGAAACTTTTCGCGGGTGAATGTGCCTTCGGTCCATTCCCACCCAAAAAAAAACGTGAACTTCGAGAGCGGCTAGCACGGATAGACGTTTGCCACGTCGAAACGGCAGTTTGACTACGGCCTTCGTATTTCGTTTTGACCATCCATATCGACGATAAGCATGGAGGCCGTCTTTCGCCGTTTCATCGAGAAAAACCAACTGCTCAGCGAAAGAGTAAAGTGACAGCAATTTATGACGGTATACACTGATTTCAGCAGGAACAGCTTCGCGTGCCGCCTTCTCTAGCACTTTACGACTCAAATTAAGATCGAAATTTAGTGCACGACACAACGTTGACGGCGATACGTTGCTAAGTGTAGGAAATGCTTGATAATATTTTCGCGCAGCTCCTCGATGTAGACGTTGGGTGAATTCGAACATATATTTCCACTGCCTGTAGAACTTCTGATGGCCAGCGCGTTTGTTGTTGCCGTTCACAGTGCTCGTTGACAACTCCACCTTTTAAAAACATCGCATACCATCGGCGGATCGTTCTCTCCTTTGGTCCCAGAAGCTCAGCAACGTGTTCAATAGGAACACCGTAGACGTGAATCAGCACCACACTTCTCCAACGAAAGTCATCGGAGTAGGCCATGGCCGTTTAGGCTGTATTTGACAAGTAATGCTGTCAGTCCGTTGATTTTGGCTACTGAACGTCCATGGAAAGCCCGCTCACCACTCATATTAGCCGCTGAATGTCGGCATAACGGATTGAGCTCTCCTAAACAGCACCAGCTTACATTAACCCTAATTGCATTTCAGGTCAGATATCTACCAATTTCTGACCCCGTGCTGAAATCGGACCCTCGATTTAATACCTCTGAGAGTCTGTTTTGCCAAAAATCATGAAAGGCACAATACATGTCAGCTTACACATAGTGGGCGAGCCTTGAGGCGCCGTCACCCCGAGATTCAAGCCAGAAGACATCGTCGCGTGCAGCACTGGTTAGTGGCGGTTGTGGCAAAAATCTCT